CGTTCGAGTGATTATTGTACTGTAATAATATGAACAAAAGACGAAACGAGATCGATCAGCACCATCGAAACCATTAGAGGAGAGCAACAGCCGAGTTGGATATATATTTTTTTTATACGCAATGCATACCTCCAAGTCTATGGCTAATTAATACGGCTGAGTCATTAATTGGTTCAGCGGGAACTCTTTGTTGTTCCACCGACGGTGCCTACGCATATCGTTCCGTATCTATTCTACATGTACACCATATACTACCGTAGTGACGGATTGGGTTTTTGATAATGTTATGACCAATATGGTTTCGTTTTATCCACTTAAGCGGATGCCACAATAAATAAAAGATATTTTAATAGGTGCTCAAAAAGTTTTTGTTCGGCACATCAATATCGATTAATTTACAATTATTGTGGTGTATTAACGCGTGTAGACACGGTTAACTCGAGCTTAGTCTTTCGAATATTTTCATTGTAAGCCGGCTGATGATTTCAATACGTTTTATATGTCTAGAGGTAAAAAACAGATAATATTTTACGCAATTTTAGTAGAAAATAAGGGATTAGTTCCGGGTCACACATTCACCTGTCACGACCTGCTGAAGGTGCGCAAAATAGATCACGTCTTCGAGTGAAATACAAATTCAATCTCGTCGCTCAGTAAAGCAATTAAGATACACGGCCATCGCTGTATGAATAATTATACATTCATAACAAAGTCGATTAGAATAAAAATAAACGATCTAACTATTCGATAAAAATACTCGAATGTAAATTAAAATTGGTTTTCTTTTATTCTCGTTTTCAGGCTGTTGAAGTTGCAGCTGATTTTTATTTTGCGAAACGTATTTAAATAAAGCTATTTATTTATCGCCACTATTTGTGAGTTTGGTTGGTGGTTTCTCAGGGCTGCAACGAATGTAGACGATTTTTATTGTTTTTGTTACGGTACTAAACGAATTTCAAATAAAATTTCCGGTCATTTTATTATAATCGTAACAAACTGTAGTGATGGACATTAAGACTTTGCATTACTGGAGAATATTTTTTTAACCCTGCGATATGTAGTTATTTGGTCATGGAGTTCAGTTATTCAGGCAAAAGTCTTTGACGCTATCAATCGTTTTTTCCCAAATCTCGTCAACTATTTTAGCTAAAATATATTATTTAATTTAAGGGAATTTTTCGTTTATTTTTAAACTAGTATTTAGTTTCCGTTTACGCGAAACGTGTAGAAACATAAAATACATAAACTGTTAATTTATTTTTGGAAAGTCAATGAATACCATATTTTGTAAATTTTATTGGAATTAACTGAATTGATTTTGCAAATAAATCAAGCCAAAGGGGAGTATTATGCCATGTGACTATGCTCATTACATGTAATAAATATCGTAGGCTAATGACGATGACCGGGAAGGCGAATAAAAACACGTCGGAGTTTAATGAGTGGCCGGCAAGAGGACAATTTTGAGAACCCGCTCGACGGAATGTGTCGGGCCCTGGTCGGCTTATGACGGTAATAAGAAGTGATACGATCAGAGGTGCCGCCTCTGCTATTTAGTCACACCTGCCATGCGCGGGGCCTTTGATGTGGCCGCCGACGTAGACGGCGCGCCCCACGGCTATTACCCACCGCCGTGGCACCGCCGCCGCGTAACTTACCGTAGCGCCGTAACACGACGGCCTCCCCTCTCGTGATAACTCTCACGCTACTAATATCTCGGCGGCGGCGGCCACTACCACCACCATCACCGCCACAATATTTGTGCCTACTATTAGTATTTAGGCACTCGTTAATAATTTTAACTGTACAAGTGCCATGATTGCAATTATAGTTTTATCTGTACAGAAATTGATTGATATTTACAGCGCTAATTTATCTTAGACGATTTACTAATAAAATAATTGTCTAATTTATTTATACCTTAGATTTATAATTGGTTCCCATCAAACACATTTGTTCGTGTACAAATAATTTTAAAATTGTTCCCGTCTCTATGTAGACTAGTAAAGAAGTCAAGTGCAATATTATATTCAACCAACGCTGTGATGCCTATAGGAGTTTGATATTAATCGTGTGAATTAAACTTATATCGGAAAAAGGTGTTGCCTGGATCAATAGTGATCAGCTAGTATGCGTTTACGCGTTAATTAGCATTGAAGATGCTGCAATTGAAACTCTTCGGTCAGCGTATATCTTAAAAATCACGTGTCATAAAACAACGAAAACGGGCTCAGAAATCTTCTCAGAAGCACTATAATATAATACCTTAGGCGGCCGAATACCGACGATCAAAATAAGTGTGAAGTGACCGGCCAGAGTAGTTACCGGACCGTGACATTGGTTGCCGACAGGGTAGCCGACTTTATGAAGAATTATATGAAATCCGGTCAACAAAAGAAAATACCACCACTTATTAACCATCACAATATAATATTAAAAACGTTCAATTAAATAATGCGATAAAAATATTTATCTCACATTACTCGTTTGACTAGTGTAGTTCATAAAAATATTTTAACGGTTGTAATTACCATTTATTAAAGGGATAATATTTGTTGGGTTAACATAAATCAATCAGGTCATAAATAGTCGGGTTAATTGTTAAATGAATGAATTTTTTTTTTAATTTACTCACTACTTACTAATCAGTATATATAAATTCAGTGGGCTACTCTCTACATTTGCTACTAGTCTAAATTATTCTCTAAAAATGTTTAAGTCATAGTCGAGTAATCTATGTGTAAATATTAAAAGCAATAAAACGATCATTAATTACCAAAAAAAAAAATCTATCGCAACAGTGATGATTGCTTGAAATACAACCAATGTATATTATTCAACAAAATTACAAAAATTACCATTTATTTTTCATAACTTGTCTATTAGAATTGGTTAGCGTAGTATTTACTCACAATGAGTGGTACCAAATTTTATTGAGAGTGTTTCGTAGTTCAATATTTAAGTAAAATACAATTCAAATGGGTACACAATTGATTGGGGGTAACATTACAACAAAAACTCAAAGATGTGATTTTAATTTACACTCCATTATAATTAATAGCGTACTGAACTGACAATTATTGTTATTTTTCATAGAAGTTACACTCTATAGAAAAAAAAAAATTTCTTTAATATAATAATTTAATCAAATATGTTTTTTATGCGAGTAAAATCATTTTTTCTAAGCAATGCGTTCTATTCAAGTTCTTGGTGCTGCGTTAGATAATATAAATAATTTTTTTATTATTTACGACAAAATATTTGAGATTTGTGACCAAACAAATTTGTACGAGTGGTAATTTTTAAAGACAATAATCTTTTTTAGATAATGAAGATTTTATTCTCGACCTAAATGACTTAGTGTTGGCACAGCTTTCATTATAAGTGGAATTTTCATCACGGCAAGAAAATTTCTTGTACAAACTGTATAACAATAGCCAACTACTCACTAACAAAACTGGAAAACAATAAATACCTATTAACATGAGCTGGACAAGAGAATTAACAGATATTAAAAACTACCCGTGGACAGGGCAGTAACTGTTATGTGAAGTACAAAAGAAAATATTCTTTTTGATTCCCGTGTTTCTAACCGCGTAGTTTTCATAGCAGCAGGAAAATCAAACGTGTCATCCATTTCGTAACTTCCAAATCGATCTTCGGCCGGTATGTTCATAGGAGGGAGGTGTTGATTGTGATAATAGTAGTCCAAGTCTTTTTGAATGACTTTATGATAGGGAATTGCTGCTAACCAAAATGTAACGGGGCATCTGCCGTGCGCACACATTCTATAGTAATGAATTATAATTTTAAATCAGATAATAAACTTTACGCATAATTTAAAAAATGTCTTTACTTTCCATTCGAAAAAGTTGACGACACGACCAACACTAACCATATAATTATATACCACGACCAAAAAAATAACGCGACCGATAATAGCGGAAGGTTTTTCTAAAAATAATAATTTTCTTATCATTTAACTGTTCAAAAAAAAATGTTTTCTAGGTATAAATATTTATATATTACCATAACACATCCCAGAAAAGCTATAGACCAAACAAGGACCATTACTGTCGCAGACATTATAATTCCAGTTTTTAATAAAACTGCAATATAATTTTAAACGTAATGACTTTGAGTAAACAACGCTTACTACCAAATTTGCATATTTTACCTTGTTTTACTTCGTCGGATAAATTAATTACTACAGAGATTATTCCAATGGTCTATAAACATAAATGAACGAAATCATGATCATAATCACTTGTAATTTCAGTTAACGTACTTGAAAAGTAATAGCACAATGCATTACACCTGATATTAGATCTAAGAAACAGCACCATGATGAAAATTCAGCTTTCATATTTATTGTATTTAAGTAATTATAACGAGAAAAAAATGTGTTTATTCGTGTGGTTTGTTAGAAACAGATGTTAGCAAAGTAAGAATTGTTGACGAATTCGCGGAAGTGAATTGGCCAGTATAATAAAAATAAGATTGTTTTACGATATTATTGTGCGCTTCAAGATTGACAGGGTTTATTTTTTGCAGTGATTTGTCACGGCCGTTGTTTTATTTCCAAGTGGACGTTAAATGTTTTACGGCATGATCAAATATGTCATAAAGTATCACGAGAAATATTATGACTGAGCTCTAATTGTTTCACGGTTGTTCCCTATTAGGACTCTCCAAATGTATTTCTACATTTGCGTGGCAATAAATAACATTTGAAATGAATATGTCCAATACATTACGCATTAAAACTCCTTTGTAAAATATTCCAACCGAAGAAAATATTATTTCATATTTATTTAAATAAAGTTGAATATAAAACCCCTTAATCTATATTAGTTTATATAAAAATTTATATACATATTAAAAACATTTTCTAAGAAACATTATACATAGCAACATTGATTTAAAACTTTCTTAAAAAATGTCTGCCTATACTGTCAGTATACCAGTGTACTGATGAACGTGTTGTTTTATTTTTTCAGATACAAGTTCGAGTCATTTAAATCTCTTCAACTCGAGATCACAACCTAAAAAGAAACGCAAATCACGCACTGCTTTCACCAACCATCAGATTTTCGAACTAGAAAAACGGTTCTTATATCAAAAGTATCTGTCTCCGGCAGATCGCGATGAAATCGCTTCAAGCTTAGGTCTGACCAACGCGCAGGTAATCACTTGGTTCCAAAATCGACGGGCCAAAATGAAACGAGATTACGAAGAACAAAAAAAAGATAGGGAAACTTTAGCCGCGTTGAGCGAACACAAGTTGTTTTTGGAGACGGCACAAAACATGGGAATACTAAAAAAGAAACCACAGCCATCATCACCTGATTCGCCTGAAAAAAAATCATTCGATGAATAATTTGACTTTTCTATCTAAAATTTCCTATTTTATATTAATCAAAATATTTACTAAATGCAGTTATTACTCTTCCTTAACGATTGCGATTTACGCGCACAGTTTAATATTATACATGAATGATTCAAATGTATGAAGATCTCAATATTGTCGATTTAACTGCACAATACTTTCCTCGTTTATAATAGTCATTGTAGCTTGAGTTATTTAAACGTAAGTGTTTTTTCATTTAAGTATTTTGAACTAACTTACCTGAATGGACCAATATTATAGTAATGTATTATAGAATATGTTGCGTCCAATTAAAAAAAAAAAAAAACCGTGTATGCATCCTAGTCTTTATCTTAAACTTAAATAAGTATATAAATAGTTGTATAGACACGTTTATATTATTACAAAATATATTTGTAAATAAAATTATAGGTTACTAATAATGTTTTCAAATGGATACATGAAATATACTTTGTGACACAACAATATAAATGTGTGTTATTTTACGTTAGCCTAAGAAAAACATTTATTGTTAATAAAAATTAGTTAATATTTACATGTTAAGCTAGCCAAGATAGGTGTAATTAATCAAATAGTCTATGGTGATAAGGTCTTGAGTACAATAGCGGATATTACTATATTCATGTATTCACAACAATTGTAGCCTGTTTTTTTTTTTTTTTTAATTATATATGTAGAAAAAATCATTTAAATAATCACAACTGTACAGAGTTGCATCGATTTGAGTTATTTACGATTCTAAATTATTATTTTTAATGGTATTATAAAATAAAATTATTATTAAGCTAATTGTTAAATTTGTTTGTTCGTTATGTATTTATTTTTTACTAAACTATTCTCGTTATCCTAATACCAAAAACCTTTTTTTTAGATTTTTAGCACAAAATTATAATTGTAAATATTTTAAATTGCATTATAATACTATATTAAATGTATATACAAATTATAAGCGATAATTATAATGTAATAATTTGTTTTTTATTTCCATAATTTATACCTTTCCCCTCTAATTTAGTACATTTTATCGTCTTATAATTTTCTCTATTTGTAATTTGAATAAACTTTTGATATTCAAGTCGATATAATAAGTTCATCATAAACGATATGACCAAATATTTGGATGTATATCAGACACAAACCATTTTTATTAATAATTCCGATTCAATTATATATTTAATTAACCATCTTTGACAAGATATTCAATTGTAATCCAAAGTAAAAATTTTTAACAATCATTCAATCAATTGTCATCTGATAATTGGTAGTATATTAAAGAATGTAACTTTAGAATTATTTAGAGAAAGTCGAAAAGTAATTTAATTAAGAAAAAGAAACAAATAATTAACACAATTTGTTTCGTTGTGATCAATTAAGAATTATTTAATTGATTTTCACTCAGAATAACTATTCAATTGTTCAAAGTTGATATATGTTAAAAAGTTTATTATTGTTCTAACATAAAACCAATTAAGCTCTCAAACAATAAAATGGGACCATTTAGAGCTAATCAGGTTATTGTACGTAAATCAGTTTTTTAAGTTTACTTGTCTGCAGTCATTTACGCAATAGTTTGGCATCTGATCGCCACATACTCAGAGCTGGTGATTTTTGTGTTAAACTGTTACTGATACTTGTTAGCGACATTCGCTTCGATTTGCATTGCACTATAGAAAACTAACCTCATCAAAAGTATTGATTGTAAAAATAATAATGAGTAGTTCAATTTGTATCTCATTCATTATACGGCAATAATTTGGTGTAACTAATCGAGTCCAAGTGTACAAATGATCTATTTGTGTAAATTAGCTTTGAACTTATTTAAAAAAATCATGATTTTGAAAAATACTCTTATTTTTTTAATGTTTATTATTTTAAAGTTTATGTAGTTAATAATAAAATCATCTATAAATTTGCCATGTAATATTAGATTTTTTATGAATGCGAAACGAAAGGACTTAATAATTTTACAATAAATACAGACTGGCCGCCCACCGTGTTTTACTATTTTAAGTATCTTTTATAATAATTGAAATATTTAATGCGATTTTTTCCTATAATAATAGGCAACATTTATTTTAATTTTTAAATTAAAAATTTTTATTATCGAACAATTAAAAATACTAACGTATTACAATTTATGTTATATAAAATTTCAAGATGCACATTTTGTAAAGTTTATCTGTCTAAATGTTCTACCTTTTTGAATAATTCTTAGAGCTTTTCTAGTTTGCTCTGAAATCTATATTTCTTTTTACTAATTGAATAAGTTAGAGCTACTAAAAATAATATGACAAAGCGTTACTTCTTTACTATTAAATCAGAATTGATGTTAATTCGGTGGTGTTCCTATTGGCTGATAAGCTATTTAATATAAAATTTAGATTAATAATTACAATTTTTCATGCTAATGAAGTTAACAATAATTATTACTTAAGGTGAAATTCATCTAGACATTACTTTTTCGATATTCTCATATCGTAAAAACGCTATAAGTAAAAAAATTTGTAATAAACGTATTACAAATAATTGTGCCTACAGACTCTATGAAATTTATTTAAGTGTATATTAAGGTAAATAAAATTAAAAGTTGTTTTTATCCTATCAATTTTTTTATAAGGCGTTTAATTTTGAAACCTGAATGTTTTTGACGATATTCGCCATAAAGTTCTCTATATCGGTTAAGTTCAGCTGCTTTAACATTATAATTTCATAAAGTATAGAAAATACATTTATTATTTTATTATAATATATGATGTACTACCAATTAGTTACAATTTAAATCATTCATTTAGTAAGTTAATACCTTTTTTATAAAAACAAACAAAACTAAGAAATGTAAATTAATACATCATACTTGTAAGTAATTATTTTAAATTGATGATAATATGCTTTTCAAATGTAACTACCTTCTCCTAAATGTTATTATGTCAATTTTTTTTGATATATTTCAAATTGTGAAACATTTTTTGCTAGATCAATGAATAAACCCAAAACACATTTATAATTTTTACCATTTAGATTTAGAATATGATATATTTTTTATTAGCTTAACTAAATTATATAAATAAATTAAATTGCTTTAATTCTTTATTGCTACAGTAACTATATTTAAAAAAATGAAAATTTTTATTTTAACATTAATTTAAATCTAAAAGTATATGAATTCTATAATTATTTATGGAAATCATTGATATTTAAACAGTCTTTTGAATTTACTATTAAATATATAATTGGTATTAGTAGAATTATTATTGTTCATTTGATAGAGTTCATTTTTATGTGACTCTGGTTCAATAAAATGGTACTGCTGTATAGTTAACCTCTAAATTAGCTACCCTCAAAAATTCAAAAAATGTAAATGTATATACACAGTGATTTTTTTATTATAACTCACTCAAATACTCACACAATAAAAATAACTTAAAAATGTAAAGATACAAGTATACGAATTATTTTAAAATTTAATAGATTTGCAACAAAGCGTTTTTAATTATATCGATATTAATCATCGTCAGACATATTTGTTCCAACTTTGCCACGTCTCCATTGTTATAGTATTTTTTATTTTTATGAAAATATGAAAATAATGAACAAACAAATGCTTTTACTTCATGAACTCAATTTATTAAGAAAAAAAAATTAAATAAAAATAGAAGGTACAATTTATTAAATTCTATTAAAGAAGTTTAGCAAAGTAAATCACAGCAATTTTAATCAGCAAAATAATATCAAACTTTGATACGGTCAAACAAAATTTAATGATTGAAAAAATAATAACATTAGTCATATTAATAATTGATATTATTAATATTCATAATAAACTATTATATTAATTAATATAATAGTTTATTGTAATAATAACATATTAATAATTGACGTGTTTATAAATTTTACAACGATAATAACATTAAAAAATATTGTATTGTCACAGGCAACCGACCGTCCCAACGACAATTGGAACTGAGCGTAACGATCCGTTGAAAATCCCACGCAACGGAGAAGATCGTTTCGAAAAAGTTCACGGGATACATCTCTTAACGCGCTTATGGCAATGCGCAAGTCTAAAGTAAAGAGATCACTGCACAACAAATCCGGTCCCTCACTAAAACGATTGTAAGCGAACGACGGACCGTATGGAATCACCGCACAGATGACGCGAGAACCAGTGGAAACAGATTGCACTTATTACGTACGTCTGTCCAAACCGAGACGCGTAAGTTTCGAGCCGGACAACGCGGCCCAAAATAACACGGCTCTACAACAACGCTCGAATGAAATCGATGAACGCTAAGCGTAACTTAAAGCGATCATCCAGTTAGCGACTGTTCCATAGATTAACCCCTTACGTTATACGACCTCCGTCCGTTGAGACCACTGGCACAGCAGCTGCTCTTATAGGCCGACAGTTTTGGGAAACGGCGACGGAAGAAACAGTCCGCTCAGAGACACAATTCCTACCAAAATACATCTCAACGCCAGTAATAAAATCAAGAGATCAGGAAGTCTATTGGAATTAGACAGCATGTACAATTCATCTAGGAGCAAAGAGACGCATTACGGCATGCTAGAAAGAATGTGCGCTTCGCATTCCACACGATTTATATCTAATAAAATTAAATGTAGCAGATGACCACATACGTGCGAATTATTAACATAGACAGTGAATGACTACGCTGCGGTTTTTAATTTCACGGCGGGACGCAAAAAGCTTGTCGAACACGATATCGTTCTAAGGACTAGACGCCCATCGAGCATTATACCATTCTTAGATCTTCTGCACAAACAAGAGGCGATAGGAATCACAGGAAACGCAGCATCTCAACCTGATCGCCACTATTTATTCTCTCCAAGAAAAAAAAACCGCTCAAACCTCCTGTGTGACTACAGGCCGTTTGAGACACGTACCCCATGCCCAATTTAAACGATACTATTGGAAGTACGAGATGTACTGTTATCGCTGCCAGTGTGGCCACCCAAAAAGGTTTTAACTCATAAGTAGCGCACAAACGCTCACAATTTTATTTGTATTATTCGTTCATGCAAGTGTCTTTTTCGATAAATCAAAAGTTATCAGAGCACGAGAATCAATCTGTACATAATATTTATTTAAATTATATTATTATTTTATTAGAATAAATTCAAATTCGTCACCAGATGCCATTCGTGGGACCACAAAAACATATGTAAACTATTAAATTATTTTTGACTTATTTTTCATTTGGTTAATATATTTAAAATTATTTAAAAACCTATGTACATGGAATTTTTCAGTATTTTAATAAGTAAAATAAATTCTAACAATCTATCTTACTCCATTTCGTACAAAAAGTACACATCATGAAAATTTTTTTTATTATTTTATTACTATCCATATTCATATTGTTCACGGAAACAATAAGAAATTATAAAAAAAATACTGATATATGTAAAAGTATCGTTAAAAATGTTGGATGGAAAGATTTAAATGATGTGGAATCTATTGTGTATTGGCAAACAAATTATAAATTAGAAAATCATCTAGGAAATATTACAATAGATAATTGTAATAGACATATTCGAGTATTGACTTTAACATTGGTCTGTTCATACGTATTCGATTTAAAAATACTATTTTTCATATTCCTAGAATATGGAAAACACTGTAAGAGTTTTATTTCCAAAAAGGACTCCGAAACTGGATATCAATGCGCTATAAAGTTATTGCAGATTTTACAAAAAATGCCATCTTTAGCAACATTGATGAAAGACACACTTCTTGTATTAGACTATTTACACACAGATCCATGGAAAAATTATTTTATTTTTGAAAATTTATTATTAAATTTAGAACAATTTAACAAAAGTTCAAAAGACTTTATTCCGACAAAAAATGATTCAACAACCACGGAAAACTTTATAAAATTTGTTAATGGGTTTTTTTTTATTAGAAATATTGAAACACACTATGAGTGTTTATCGCATTGTAGATTTGTATCATTTGATACAGATTTGATCTGGAAAGAATTGAATGAAGAATACCAAGGCAAAATTAAAGAAGACATAAATTTGACATTCTACGATTATCTAAGTGAAAAAGTCAATTTGAAAATTAATTCCATAATCATAAACAAATTTCATAGACTAGGTTTTCGGCATGATCGAAAAACACTACAAATTGGTATACCTCTACCATCTCAGTATAAAACTAACGGTATGAATTTAGAAATAGTAATTTAAAACTGAATCTTAATGCATATATTTTAACTATAGATATAGAACTTTTTAGAAGACCTAATTGCACTCCTGTTACAATTCAAAGAGAACCACAAAACAGAGGTATAATTTGAATTATAAATTTTAATATAACTTACATAAAGTTAAAATTATTTTACTAGTATTACTTCAAATATATTTCTTATTATTTAAGTATAATTAAAAATATTATTCTTAAAAGATCTCATTTAAAAACTTTTATTAACTTTTATTGTTTGAAAAAATAATAGAGAAAATTGATAATGAATTATTATCGTGTTGAAACCTAAATGTATATGTTATAAAATTTTAACTAGTTACTCTTAACTTTTATGACTGTTTACTAGAAATGGAATATCGTTGGATACTACAGCTTATAGATTCATTTGATGAAGGTAAAACTCTTACTATAAATGGTTTTTTCAACAATTCTAGTTATATAAAAAAGAAATATTTGTATTTCATTGTATTAAATTATTTTTTTATTAGAATTGGTTAATGAATCTAACACCAATGGAAAAGTACAGCTAATTGATTTTCTTCGACAAGGTAAAATGATTGAATCGCGATAAAGAATTTTTATGAATTTTACTATAATTACAATTTAACTAATAGTAAAAATTAAAAGAAACTAATTATTTTTATCCTACCTTGTGTTACTATACAATTTTAATATGAAATTTCAAAATAATAATTATTTGTAATATAATCACTTGTGGCTATTATTAATTAAAATGAAATCAATATTAACAATATTATTAATTTAAAACTAAAAAATATCAAAAATATTGGCTTAGAAAGCCACAAAAAATTACTGAATAATCCCAATAGATAATACAATGTGAAAGTTTACATAAAACAAAGGTAAAACTCTTACTATAAATGTGTTTTTCAAAGTCTATTTATATATAGAAATATTTGTATTTCATTTTATAAAATAATTTTTTTATTAGAATTGGTTAATGAATCTAACACCAATGAAGAAGAACAGCTAATTGATTTTCTTCGACAAGGTAAAATGATTGAATCGCGATAAAGAATTTTTATGTATTTTACTATATTTGCAAGTTAACTAAAAGTAAAAATTAAAAAAAAGAATTATTTTTATCCTACCTTGTGTTACTATAAAATTTTAATATGACATTTCAAAATAATAATTATTTGTAATATAATCACTTGTGGCTATTATTAATTAAAATGAAATCAATATTAACAATATTATTAATTTAAAACTAAAAAATATAAAAAATTTTGAGCTTAGAAAGCCACAAAAAATTACTGAAAAATCGCAATGTATAATACAATGTTAAAGTTGTAATAAATTTTACGAAGGACAAACAAAGGTACAATTTTTACTATAAATGTTTTTTTCAAAAATTCTAGTTATATAAAAAAGAAATATTTGTATTTCATTAAATTATTTTATTTTTTTATTAGAATTGGTTAATGAATCTAACACCAATGAAGAAGTACAGCTAATTGATTTTCTTGGACAAGGTAAAATGACTGAATCGTCGTTAATGATTTTTATGAATTTTGCTATAATTACAAGTTAACTATTAATTTGTACAATTAAAAGAAACTAATATTATTATTCTCCCTTGTATTACTATAAAATTTTAATATGAGATATTCAATAAAATAATTATTCATAATATATTTTAATTAGTTCTTTTTTAACAAGGACTAAAACCTAATGATTCATATGAAGATAATCAAGACCCAGTAGAAGTTGATGAAAATAGGGAGAATTACATCAAGTTTTTATAGTAAATAGTTTTATGTGTAATCGCCAATCTTATCAGATAATTTTTAAATAATAATTTTTTATTTAATGTAAGAATAAAACGATATGTTTATGCTTTGATATATAGCTAATATACTTCAATTAATTGTGTTAGTTATAACTACCTTTTTTTTATATTATGTTTGTTGTTTTTATATATTATGTTACTTTTATTACGATACTTTCTATCGATTTCTTTTAAATATGTTTTAAATACAATTTTGTTGATATATTTACTCATGTTTAATGTTATATAAATGTTTTGTTTGAACTTAAGCTTTATAATAAGCTTTAAAAATTTACTCATAGCACTTTATTTTTATATTTTTTAAGGGAATGTTATATGTTATATATAAATTTCAGAACTGTTATAAGTATATAATTTTGTACATTCATTATCACTATAGTACAATATTAAGAATCTTATTTATCACATATACGATATATAAGTCTCCAGTTACCTCTGTACACAAGTCCGATGAACTGTCCAATATATCCAACTATCGTCCGATTTCAATCCAGTCAAACATTTCCTTAATTTTTGAATTGTTGATGTTGTATTGTATCCAATCTTCGATCAATAAAATTCTTATGGAGGAACAGGATGGCTTTCGCCCCGGTCATTCCACCATTACCTGTAATTTCGTCTTTAACATCTATTTATATCAATCTTTTAATTTGAAAATACAATTAGATACCATTTACACGAATTTCAACAAGGCATTTAATTCAGATAATCAAAATGCCCTAATCCAGGCCCTCAACTTATCCGGAATCGGTGAACCTCTCCTGTCCTAGTTTCGTCTTACCTATCTTGCCGTTACCAATGGGTCAAATTGCTTGGAGTAATATCTAATGTCTATCCTGCTACGTCCGGTGTTCTTCAAGGAGGTCACTTATCTCCGCTCCTGTTCTCTCTAATCATTAACAGTGTATCAAGTGTACTTTCCAATAGGCAGATTTTATGTTTTACAGATGATATTAAGCTCTACTCTCGTATATCCTCCTTAGATGACTGTATTTTATTACAGAGTGTTTTGATCGGTCCACGGAGTGGTTTAATTTACTAGGGCTATCCCTTAATGCATCTAAATTTAAGACCATGACTTTTCCAGGATTCAGTCACCTGTCAAATATGTTTATAATCTCAGAGCTACTGTGATTTTATGTTCTAATGACTTTGTATTTTATCTAGGATTTATTCTTAGTATTGATCTTGATCCTAGACTCCACATTGAGCATATTTTTTGTAAGGCTTTTAAAACTCTGGGGTTTGTGTTAAGATTATGTAGGGATTTTTGGTTACGTCTATCATGCAAAGTGCTTTATTGTGCACTTGTTCGCTCTATTGTTGAGTATGGTTCCGTAATTTGGGATCCGCATAAGCTCAATGACTCTCTTAGACTTTAAAGGGTTTAGCGTAAATTTATGAGACCAGTTGCTTCTCAATTAGGGCTGATTTCGCTAGCTGAGCGTAGACGAATCTCGGGTATTAAGTTCCTAAATAGTTAATTTCAAGGTAATATTGATTCTCCCTATTTGCTTTCTTTAATTTGTTTTAGAGTTCCTCAACGTCATTCCCGATTTGTTGCTCCTTTTTATGTTCCTTTTGCCTCCACTAATTACTTTAAAAATGAGCCTATTACACGTATGATGTCAAATGCCAACGTTGACCCTTCATTTCTTCTTTGCCTATAATTAACTGAATAGCTGTTAATTTATTATTTAACATATTTGTACAATTAATGTATAACTGATATGTATAATGTGTACATACGTTCAATGGATTTATCCCGTATATTTAATAAAAATAAAATGAAAAAAAAAAGTCTATGAGTCTATTCTAATAATTGAGTTCCATCATATTGATGGAACTCAGAAACAGTATGATAACTATGCTGTCCAACGTTAAATCACAGTATCTAATATTTTTATCAAAATTACATTTTTTAGTCCCAAGTAATATAACCTGCCCAATTTTTTTGTAATTATTCTAAAATATAAATACAATTATTATAATTAGAATATGAATAATTATTGTGTATACAAGAAGTGTTTTAAGAAAGATATAGGCGATTGCCCCTTTTGAACCAGTGCTATCAAAATTTTTAAGCAACTTCTAAGAAATAAGTACCTAATAAACGATTTTTGATCATCATTTTGATTTTCAGCAAAACAAAAAAAATTCTATAGCATGTGTAACAAAGTAAAAAAAATTAAGTATCCTACTAAAATAATTTCTGAATATGCCCAAGGGGAATACCTCATTAACAAACGTCAATTTTATACCAAATACATTTTACTTTATTCTCTTTTACAAATTTTCCCGATTTTAATAATTAAATTTTTAATATATTTTTGTTACACTGATTCTGATGTAATAGTTATCCTACAAAACACTTATCGTGCCCAGCGTATCTGAGTAATTCTACTGGAATCAGTGGCCTTTTTACGTGGATGGCCCAAAGAGGCTACTCGTTGTAGGTGCGTGAGACTTGTAAAGCCCCAAGTCTGGAGCGGAGCCTCAGCTAAGTAAAGCCTAGTATTATATGCCATTTAAATTTCAAAAATTTCTCTTAAAATCTACTCTTAGGAATAAATATGTCTTATAAGAAGTTTTACAATTACAGTGGTTTACGATAAATTTATTGAATTGTAATCTATACATTATAATAAAACAAAATTAATATTTTACAAAAAAATGAGATATTATACATTTTAATTTACACCATATTTCTTGTTATATCAGTTATTAATTACTCTTTTATTTCATCACTTCTTCAATTTGTCACTAAGGTATTTTCATTAATTTTTTTAAAGGTAACTTTAGCAAAGGTAGTATTTTTGGAATGCTAGAATTTTGTAGTTGTTTGTCAATATTCCTAGGAAGTCAAAAAAAAAGTAGAAAATAAAAAAAAAGAAATAAAAATTAAATCTATATTATATTACCCTAAAATTATATGAGATCAGTTTTCTTAATTTTACAAAAAATTACTATCTTTACCAATAAATAATTAGATACGTTTTTTTGGTGGGGGAGTACTATAACAATTGCTCTTTGTGCTTTTGATATCAAATTAACATTAAGGAAATAAATAGAAAATTCACTACGTAATTGTACAACTTCAACCCCTTTAAGGCACGTGAAAGAGTTAACTTATCACGCTCAAATTTTACTAGAATTATTTTTTACTGAACATCTAAAATATAAAATTATTCTTTTGTTGACATAAAAAAATAGTTTAACTATAAATAATCCCTCTCTAGTAACCAAGGTAAACGATTGCCCGTATCTCCTTTAGGTAATTAAAACTCATTTAGGGATATAGAGACAATATTTGGGCAGACGTCGGATTGCTTCCGAATTTTGGATTGACCGTGATCCTTATGTTTTAAACGGACTCTTAACACAACTATTACTACATTCTCATTACCAGGTATTCCTTACATTACGTAATCTAACTCTCTTCAAAATATTTCTTTGTCAATTTCATCGCATCATATTTGTGGTGCATAGACACTTACTTCATTTAAAACTTTTTCTTCAAAATTAATTTTACGACTAAAATCCCTTATCGGGGTAATATACTGAGAATCACTCAGTATAAAAAAATTTAATTTCGTCAAAAATAATTGTTGAGTTAAATCCGTATTAGTTAATTGAGTAAAGAATAAAATACTGTATCTATATCACGTGATGTACACAGTAAATATAAATGTACATTATTATATTTTTATATATATATATTTGTTTAGTGATTTTATTTTTTAACTTAATAGTATATTACATAGAAAAGCTACATTTATTTTAAAATTGAGCTTTATAACTCTTTATCTTAAGATTTTTATTTCATAAGTGTCCAAATACACCAATATATTTATTTATTTAATAGACATATATATATATATTTAAATTACTTTTTCTGTATTAATGAAAACTTGTATTAAAAATGTCACAAAACTAAAATTTGAAAATACAGTTTTGTTTTGGTCTACAATGATATTCATTATAAGAGAAAATTAGAGCTAAGGACTTTCCCTACTGTGTTGAATTCGTTTGACACCTTACTATTATACACATACTGTCCGCATAAGTTTTCAATTAATTAAAAAATGTATTGACTTTAACACTGACTTATATAACATTCTTTGTGTAAATTTACACGATCAATGTAAAACTTTGAAACATGTCGCCATGAATTTTATCGATAAGTGGTTTTATTAAAATAATTATTATGGTATAATCTTAAATTTAAAGTTTAGTTTATTTTTTTCATTTCGTAGTAATAAAAATAATTTTTGCCGGTGACGAGACAATTGCCTATATTTTATAATTATAAAGTAATTATGATTAAAAATATCAAAACTGTTAAAAGCATTGATTTTTATAGATTGAAAAAATTGTCTAATTAGAATAAAAGGGCATTGATTAAAATAACTAGTTTGTCAATTTGGAAAGAATAAATTGATAAGGCTATAATATTACACATAAACGGTGATTATTTTAACATAATCCCGCCGATTTAATAAATAAATAAATAAGTAAATTATTGTTTAATTTCAAATATGGTATGATTTATTAAATAAATTACTACCTATTTTTTTGTTAAAAAATGGACAGGTTAGTATTATTAAATTTTATGAACCATAGTAAATAACATGTTAATTGAAAGAAAAAATTTTCCTAAGGTAAATTTTAGGTATAATATAGAAAATTTAGATGGGAACCTACTATTAATATTTTTTCTATATTATTACTTTTTGAGAAGTTAGCATTTAAAAATTTAAACTAGCTAAGTTACGGAGTTGTATTAAGTGTCATTCTATTTTTATCATAACGCACAAATAACAATTTTTATACATTGCTCACCTCGCCTACATATGACTAAAATTTATAAAACAAAAAGTAATAATACAATACTGGTAAACGACTTGTCAACAAGTAAATAAGTTTTATTTAGACCAATTCTATAAATATTAAAAAAATAATAATACGTTCTAATTAACATTCGAAAATTACCCCTAAAATGAATCTTTAGAGATTTTACGAGATAATAGTATCTTAGGAGGTTCTGGAAATCTTACGCTGGATTTTTGTTCCACAGGAACAACTTGATTAAATTTAGAGATTGGATTTTGAATTCATTAATTCAAATAATGTATGACTATAATGACCAAGGAAACTATCGGTTTCACCTAGTTTACTATAAGATTGCATTTAAAAGATCAGAAGAGGTTTATTTAATAGCCTTTATTTAATAATTTTTTTATAGATTATTTGGATGAAAACTCTAAGTTAAACTGTATGGAGGAGGTGTGGAAGAGGATACTTTTACTTTAAGTGATGGTTAGAAATCACGATCAACTGACCTGTAATCCATAGGACTTTTAGTTCTACTACAAGAGTTACTAAAATTACTACAGGCCTATTTAGCATGCTCGTTAGATTACTAAGGTGATTTATTTTTTGTAAACATTAAATGCAGATATTTTTAAAATAATTTTAAAAAAAAGTCTGGTCTCTTATTGTATGTTGTATTCGAAGAATCATGTACACATAACTTATGTATCATATAAAATAAAACAAATTCATAGTTTCAACGATAAAATAGACTAGTTGCATAGTAATTTATATTTTAGGCTAAATAATAACTTATATATAATTTTTTGTAGATATCTTTTTATAGAAAAATATAAAGTAAAAGTTTATGTTTTTTGGTCTAATCTTAATGCATTATTTTCAAATGAATTTTTATTAAATCATTTTTATAATAAAGTTCTTCTCTTCCGAAATTTCTACACATAAATTATACTTAAATCAGATTTCATAATCTTCTATCAATAAATTATAAACTAAAGGCGTCAACATTCTACAAACTTCTTCTAAACTTATAAATAGAACTTTTAGTAATTTGGTTAAACGTTGAATAACACAAACATATGTAATCTATTAAATTATTTTCAAATTATTTTTCTTTTGGTTAATATATTTATAAATATTTTAATAAAATTTTAACAATACCATATTTTTTAATTTAATAACATTTGATTCTTACAGTGTAAACTTGCACCGCTTTCCACATCAAAATGTATTTCGGCTTTAATAAAAAATTTTTTTATTTGGTAAAATTTTAAGTTATTAATAAATACACAATAAATAAATCCAATAAAATGTTATTTAAAAATCTAAATATTAACAAAGAATTTTTCAATATTTCATTTAGTAAAAACAATTTTACAAATATTCTTACTCCATTACTACAAAAAAATAAGGATAATGAAAATTTTTTATATTCTTGCTTTACTTTCCATACTAATAATGTTAACTGAATCAAAAAAAAACATAGAAATAAACAACGATATATGTAATAGTATCATTGAAAATGATGGATGGAAAGATTTAAATGATGTAAATTCTGTTGTACATCGTCATAAAGCTTATAGCTTAAAAAATCACCGAGAAGATATCATAACAATGAATTGTAATAAACGAGTTCGAATATTGACTTTAACATTAGGTTGTTCATATCTAATTGATTTAAAAACATTATTTTTCACATTCATGGAATTTGGAAAACACTGTAAGCGTCTTATTTCCAAAAATAATTCAGAAACTGGATATAAATGCGCCATAAAGTTATTGAAAATTTTACAAAAATTGCCATCTTTAGCAACATTGATGAAAGATACACTTTATATATTAAACTATTTACACAGTTCTCCAGGGACAAATAATTTTATTTTTAAAAATTTATTATTAAATTTAGAACAATTTAACAAAATTTCAAAAAAATATATTCCGACAGAAAATGATTCAACAACTACGGAAAAATTTATAGAATTTATTGATATTTATTTTTATCATAGAAAAATTGACACAATGTATAAACGTTTTATACATTGTAATTTTGTACCATTCCATACGGAATCCTTTTGGAATACATTGAATGAGGAATACCAAGGAAAAACTTTGCAATACTTCGATTATCTGAGTGATAAAGTCAATTTGAAAATTAATTCCATAATTATAAACAAATTTCATAGACTAGGTTTTCGGCATGATCGAAAAACACAACAAATTGGTATACCTCTACCATCTATGTATAAAACTAACGGTATGTATTTATGAAAAAATACTTATAATAATTTAAAACTAAATCTTAAAGCATATGTTTAAAATATAGATATCGCAATTTTTACAAGACCTAATATAAGTTTTGATACAATTCAAAGAGAATTACAAATCAGAGGTATAATTTTAATTATAAATTTATATTATATTATATATTTATATTTATATTATAAGTTACATAACGTTAAAATTATTGTACTAGTACTTATTGCTAGTATTACGTCAAACATATTTCTTATAATTTAAGTGTAAATATTAATTTAAGATAAATAGTCTTAAACGATCTTATTGAAAAACTTAATTTTTTTTGAGAAAATCTTAGAGAAAGTTGATAATGAATTTTTACCGCTTTAAATGTTAAATGTTCACATTATTAAATTTTAACTAGATACTCTTAATGTTTTTTATCTTTGTATTAGAAATAGAAAACCGTTGGATATTAAAGCTTATAGATTCATTTGATGAAGGTAAAACTCTTACCATAAATGGGTTATTCAAAGTCCATATATATATAGAAAAATTTGTATTTCATTATATTAAATTATTTTTTTATTAGAATTGGTTAATGAATCTAACACCAATGAAGAAGTACAGTTAATTCATTCTCTTGAACAAGGTAAAATGTTTGAATAGTTGATAATGAATTTTCATGAATTTTAGTATAATTACAAGTTAACAAAAAGTACAATAAAAATTGATCACTTGTGGCTATTATTACTAAAATTTACACTATAAAATATTAAACACAAACATAATACACATTTAAAGCCACAAAAAATTACTGAATAATCGCAATGTATAATATAATGTTAAAGTTGTAATAAATTTTACGAAGGACAAACAAAGGTACTATTTTTACTATAAATGGTTTTTTTCAAAAATTCTAGTTATATATAAAAGAAATATTTGTATTTCATTAAATTATTTTATTTTTTTATTAGAATTGGTTAATGAATCTAACACCAATGAGGAAGTACAGCTAATTGATTCTCTTGGACAAGGTAAAATGACTAAATCGTGATAACGAATTTTCATGAATTTTACTATAATTGCAAGTTAACAAAAAGTACAATAAAAATTGATCACTTGTATCTATTATTACTTAAAATTATATTAAAATAATTAAAAAAATTAATTTAAAACTAAAAAATATCAAAACTATTGAGCTAAAATATTTGTATTTCATTAAATTATTTTATTTTTTTATTAGAATTGGTTGATGAATCTAACTCCAATGGAGAAGTACAGCTAATTGATTTTCTTGGACAAGGTAAAATTACTGAATCGTCGATAATGACTTATATGAATTTTGCTATAATTACAAGTTAACTATAAGTACAAATTAAAAGAAACTAATATTATTATTCTCCCTTGTGTTGCTATAAAATTTTAATATGAGATATTCAAAAAAATAATTATTCATAATATAATCATTTTAATTATTTTTTTTTAACAAGGACTTAAGCCCAATGATTCATATGAAGATAATCTAGACCCAATGGAAATTGATGAAAATAGGGAGAATTACATTAAGTTTTTATAGTAAATAGTTTTATGTGTAATCGCCAATCTTATCAAATAATGTTAATAATTAATATTTTATTGAATGTAAGAATAAAACTATTTATTTATGCTTTGATATTTAGTTAATATACTCAATTACCCTATTTCTTAGTAGACTGAAATCGGTCTAATTTTGCATATTATGAAAAATTTCTTAATATGCAAAACTAGTGGCGTAGCTAAGGAAACTAAGGTGACTAAGACTCGCATTTATAGAGTTATAGATTTATAAAATAAATTGATGATCAAAAAAAAATAATTTCAAGAATATGGGCAGAAAATATGTAAGAGCAATATTGTTGTATATAATCTGAAGGATTGCATAATTTATATGAATGAATCGAATAATGACAATGGTAATCGAGGTCGTCTTTTTATTCAATTTATTTTGCTCTTATATATTTTCTATCTAATTCGATTAATAAAACTACAACCAATATCTTGTTATATAATAGAAAAAGTAAAAAACACTATTCTAGAAAAATTACTTGACATGCTTGGATTTTTGCCGTATTCGCGAAAAACGCTCGTTGTCGCTAGCGTTTTACGTCTTAAGGTTCGAAATTTTCATTAAACCCGCTCGATGAAATTTCTGTTTTATCATTCAAAAATCAATTAAACCCGTTAATTTTTCACCGTTTTAGGACCTTCTTTTTATTAGTTCACGCGCATGGTATTTATATGGGAATTGACTCATTTCTGAGCGTATGTTTATTGTTACCCTTATTTGTAAAATATATATTTGTATAACGATTTAATTTCCTATTCAGCTCATTATTAATATATGTTACTATTTTCATTTATGCATTGATTGTGTTAATTATAACTATTTTTTTTATTTGATATTATGTGTTTTATTTTTATATATTATGTTACTTTTATTAAAATACTTTCTGTCGATCTCTTTTAAACATGTTTTTAATAAAATTTTGTTGATATATTTACTCATTTTTTTTGTTTGAAGTTTTGTTTTATAATTAGCTTACTATTCAATTGTACTTTTTCTCTTTGAACTTTTTTTATCCACGCTAAGTTTGTATTATGATACTATTTTGCATTTGCGCATGGCAGTTTATTTTGTATATTTTATCAAGGAATTTTTTTTAAGTTTTCTAATTTGATATATGTTGTGCCTTGTTATCATTTTTATCCTTTACAATAACTATAAAATTTTTGCTGAATTAATGTAATTGATGTAGCAGACTTTTGTTTATATACACTCAATAATTTATTCCACATACCTTTCGCTGTGTCACAGTTCATTATGTAATCTAATTACAGTTCATCTACTGATATAACTATAAAACGTTGAGCCATTGCATCAGTCACTAACCATTTTTGCTGCTTTTGTTCTAATTACAATTGTGCCTCTGTGTCTGTTTCTGTATCATGTTCTATTATTTGAATTGGATATTCATAACTTCTATCTATTACAGAAAACAATACATAATATAATTTTAATATTACCGTCATTTGCAATTTCTATTTGCCCAATTTTCATTGCCGCTTAGTTTGTTAATTTTTATAGATTCGATTTCTATGATAACGAATTTCCTGTACACTGTCTGCACACAATAAAAAATTACAATAATATTTAACACGATCGACACACTACGCGAACGCACTTTAAATTTCACATTTAAATAATATTATTTACATTTTCATATGGAAGTTATTAACATAATTCTATAAATTTAAGGGGGGAAATTCGATTGAGAAATGTCTAATGATAAAAATAGCAGANATGAAAAAAAAAAATTTGTCCCGACGACCTATCTACTATGTGCAAATAGTTGTCAAAATTAAAAAAAAAAATGTAATATTTGCGATAAAAATCATCTTCTATAAGGATGTTTTTTTTACTTAAAATTGCCATAACTTTTTCAAATATTGACAAATCAAAATAATATTTTTTATATTGAAACCTTAGGTAATTTCCTTTCGTTTGGTATCATTTTTTTTTGAAAATCTAACACTTATTCTACTCATTGGGGGGATTTAAAATAGTAACATTTTTACAAAAAATAACTTTTTCAACTTAATTTTTGAAAATGTTCCGGAAATACTGCGTCCCTTAAACTTATATAAAATTAAAGCTTATTTTATGTACTATAAAATGAAAAAAAAAATTTGTCCCGACGACCTATCTTCTATGCGCAAATGGCTACCGTATTCCAAAAATATGCTATTTTAACAAATTTTTTTTTTAAATTAAACACTATCTAAAGATTTGCATCGAAGCGTTTTGATAGTGATTTTAATCACTGTCAGATATCATCTATCTATATATAAATTTGTCCCGACACTTTATCTTCTACATGTAAACGGCTGCCGTAGTTTAAAAAAACGCTATTTTTGTGTTAAAATTTTCGATTTTCGATTTTAAATTTTAAACTTATAAGTGCTATAACTTTTCGAAAAATGTAATTATCAGCACAAATATTTTTTTTCTAAATACATTATAAATACATCTTTCATTTGACATACTTTTTATTAAAATTGGACAATTTCCCCATATATAGGGGGCGTTCAAAACTTGAAACATTGTATAAAAAATAGAACTTTTTCAACTTAACTTTTGAAAGTGTTCCGGAAATACTGCGTCCTTTACACTTATATTAAATTAAAGCTTATTTTATTTACTATAAAATGAAAAAAAAAAATTTGTCCCGACGACCTATCTACTATGTGCAAATAGTTGTCAAAATTAAAAAAAAAAATGTAATATTTGCGATAAAAATCATCTTCTATAAGGATGTTTTTTTTACTTAAAATTGCCATAACTTTTTCAAATATTGACAAATCAAAATAATATTTTTTATATTGAAACCTTAGGTAATTTCCTTTCGTTTGGTATCATTTTTTTTTGAAAATCTAACACTTATTCTACTCATTGGGGGGATTTAAAATAGTAACATTTTTACAAAAAATAACTTTTTCAACTTAATTTTTGAAAATGTTCCGGAAATACTGCGTCCCTTAAACTTATATAAAATTAAAGCTTATTTTATGTACTATAAAATGAAAAAAAAAATTTGTCCCGACGACCTATCTTCTATGCGCAAATGGCTACCGTATTCCAAAAATATGCTATTTTAACAAATTTTTTTTTTAAATTAAACACTATCTAAAGATTTGCATCGAAGCGTTTTGATAGTGATTTTAATCACTGTCAGATATCATCTATCTATATATAAATTTGTCCCGACACTTTATCTTCTACATGTAAACGGCTGCCGTAGTTTAAAAAAACGCTATTTTTGTGTTAAAATTTTCGATTTTCGATTTTAAATTTTAAACTTATAAGTGCTATAACTTTTCGAAAAATGTAATTATCAGCACAAATATTTTTTTTCTAAATACATTATAAATACATCTTTCATTTGACATACTTTTTATTAAAATTGGACAATTTCCCCATATATAGGGGGCGTTCAAAACTTGAAACATTGTATAAAAAATAGAACTTTTTCAACTTAACTTTTGAAAGTGTTCCGGAAATACTGCGTCCTTTACACTTATATTAAATTAAAGCTTATTTTATTTACTATAAAATGAAAAAAAAAAATTTGTCCCGACGACCTATCTACTATGTGCAAATAGTTGTCAAAATTAAAAAAAAAAATGTAATATTTGCGATAAAAATCATCTTCTATAAGGATGTTTTTTTTACTTAAAATTGCCATAACTTTTTCAAATATTGACAAATCAAAATAATATTTTTTATATTGAAACCTTAGGTAATTTCCTTTCGTTTGGTATCATTTTTTTTTGAAAATCTAACACTTATTCTACTCATTGGGGGGATTTAAAATAGTAACATTTTTACAAAAAATAACTTTTTCAACTTAATTTTTGAAAATGTTCCGGAAATACTGCGTCCCTTAAACTTATATAAAATTAAAGCTTATTTTATGTACTATAAAATGAAAAAAAAAATTTGTCCCGACGACCTATCTTCTATGCGCAAATGGCTACCGTATTCCAAAAATATGCTATTTTAACAAATTTTTTTTTTAAATTAAACACTATCTAAAGATTTGCATCGAAGCGTTTTGATAGTGATTTTAATCACTGTCAGATATCATCTATCTATATATAAATTTGTCCCGACACTTTATCTTCTACATGTAAACGGCTGCCGTAGTTTAAAAAAACGCTATTTTTGTGTTAAAATTTTCGATTTTCGATTTTAAATTTTAAACTTATAAGTGCTATAACTTTTCGAAAAATGTAATTATCAGCACAAATATTTTTTTTCTAAATACATTATAAATACATCTTTCATTTGACATACTTTTTATTAAAATTGGACAATTTCCCCATATATAGGGGGCGTTCAAAACTTGAAACATTGTATAAAAAATAGAACTTTTTCAACTTAACTTTTGAAAGTGTTCCGGAAATACTGCGTCCTTTACACTTATATTAAATTAAAGCTTATTTTATTTACTATAAAATGAAAAAAAAAAATTTGTCCCGACGACCTATCTACTATGTGCAAATAGTTGTCAAAATTAAAAAAAAAAATGTAATATTTGCGATAAAAATCATCTTCTATAAGGATGTTTTTTTTACTTAAAATTGCCATAACTTTTTCAAATATTGACAAATCAAAATAATATTTTTTATATTGAAACCTTAGGTAATTTCCTTTCGTTTGGTATCATTTTTTTTTGAAAATCTAACACTTATTCTACTCATTGG